ATAATAAGGCGAACGGGGGTCAGCAGGTGGGGTGGGGTGTGATGAATTGACAGTCTGGGTAGGCAAGGATGGACATGGTGGGCACACAGTGGTAGGAGTTGGTTTCAAGTGTTTAAAACAGGCGTGTCCAAAGTCCGGCCCGTGTTCCGGTTTAATATGGCCCCACGGGTAATTTGGCAATATCTATCTTTTATGGCCCCCAATGAATCCATATGTATTGAGATGAATACATTGTAAAATCTCAGTTAAAGTCAGTTGGTCTAAATCAGTTATAAATATATTTGGACACAACATGTATACTTGGTGTTATGTTCCTGTTCATATTTTTTGAACTTAAAAGTTGACAGACAACCTTTATTACCAATAATATGTAATGTACTTTACAATGTTCCTGACATATATTTCAGCTTCCTGGATTTTTTTTTTCATCTGGCCTTCAGATATGAAAGGCAGAGTGATTTAACACCTGTTTAGATTTGTCATCCATGTGACGAAATGAAAAGTATGCCGTTTGCAATAAACTTTGCATAAAATAGTTAATTTGCATTTAATTTTAATGGTTCAAAGAATGTCAGGCAAAATGGTCGGCCCTCACGCATGTTCACTTTTTCAAATCTGGCCCTCTTTGAAAAAAGTTTGGACACCCCTGCTGTAGGAGAACACTTCAATCTCCCTGGACACATAGTAGCAGATTTAAAAGTAGCCATCCTGCAACAAAAAAACTTCAAGAACAGACTTCAAAGAGAAACTGCAGAGCTACAATTCATCTGCAAATTGGATACTATCAGTTTAGGATTAAACAAGGACTGTGAATAGCTAGCTAACTACAAAAGCAGTTTCTCCTCTCTTGGTGTTCACACCTCCACATCAGCTGCTAGAAGTGGGCCTCATCCTCCCTGACTGAATTGACCTCGTTATCTCTAGCCTTACTCTTGATGGGAACTCTTTTCTTATGCCTACATATTTATACCTGCCTCTGGAATTTCCACTACATGCATCTGACAAAGTGGGTCTTTGCCCACGAAAGCTTATGCTCCAATAAATCTGTTAGTCTATAAGGTGTCACAGGACTTCTCATTGTTCTTGCAGATTCAGACTAACATGGCTACCCCTCTGGTACAATTCAGAAAGCATTGTTTCTCATTAGAGCTTGGAATGTGTTTAAAAATTAATTCATTGTAAATCAATTTTTTTAAACTGGTAGAGAGGAGAAAAGCCAGAGGGAGCTTTGGAGCTAACACGCAAAAATCTGCTCTCTGATGTCTGTGATGTTGCTACAAAAAGAACAGTTTGGAGGGCATGGTTCCAAAGTCTTCATCAAGAAGTTCCTCCAGGCTTCACTATGACACAAACATGCTGATGGAGATCCACTAAAACACAAGCATTTAAAATTGAGCACTGAGAACACCTTTGCCAATGGTGAAGGCAGGGGTAGAAGTAAGACTCTTGGGACTTACTTCTGCATTCTGCACTGGGTCTGGAATCCTCTGCAAGGGAAGGTCCACTCTGGCTCCAGAAGGGGCAGGGCCTTGGGTGGAAGGGCTGAGGGCCAGTCAGTTCTTCCCGGGTGGCAGCTGGGATACCCAGGGCTCCTGCAGAGATTTGAAGGGCCTGGCCTGGGGCTTTCAGATGTTGCCACAGTGGCCAGGAGTCCCCGGAACTTTTAAATTGCTGGGCCCCAGGGCAGCTGCCCCTTTTGCTCCCCCATCAGTGGCACTGCCGTGCTGCTGGATATTATGGCAGGGCTGCATAGGGTTGCTAGGTGTCCAGAATTCACCTGGACAGTCCAGTATTTTTGCCTCCTGTCCGGTAAACAAATTCAGAGAATACCTAAAATGTCCAGTATTTTCTGATTTTTTCCCCTGGCTATGAAGCGAAAATACTGGGCACCTGGCAACCCTACAAACACTCAGCACCCGGCCTCTCACCCCTCCTCTGAGCCCCCCGGCTCCCAACACCCCCAGCCCCCCAACCCCAGCCCACATGCTTACCTGGTTCCGCAAGGCTGCAGGCGCAAAATTGCTGCCGACCAAAGGGAAGCTTCCCCTGGGTCTTAGTGCTCAACCTTTCCCCTGTTCCTATCCCTGCACTCACTATTAAAGGGGACATGCTGTTTTAATGCTGTTTTGTTTTATTTATTTATTTATTTTTGCTCAGCTTTGGTCCCCATCCCATTTTTTTCCCCTTCAACAGAATTTTTTCCCTTTTTTTTTGCGGGCGGGGAGGGGGGGGGGGTGTTCAGTATTTTTGTTTCAACCATCTGGCAACCCTAGCTGGCAACCATAGGGGTGGGGCAAGCAGAAGGAGGAGTAAAAGGTCATCCAAGTTTAGGTTAGCCCGGCAGCCAGTTCTTATTGGAGTGCCGCACCAGCCCACTTTCATCTCCAGTGCGGGGGACCAACAGACTCACCAGGCCACTGGCAAAGCAGCGGGGGTGGCTTTGATTCTCAAGAAGGGGTGGGGCTTTAGGCAGAAGGGACATGGCTGGGGCTAGCTTCCCACAGGCTGCTTCAGCACCTCCTGGAGTATGCCACACCTACCCCCCTGCAGCCCTCAGTGTTGCCTGGAGCATGCAGTGTGGGGCTCCAGTGGCAATTTAAAGGGCCCAGGGTTCTGGCCGCTGCCACACTATTGGTGGTGGCTGGGAGACGCAAGCTCTTTTGAATCACCAGGCCCCGGGGTATTTGCCCTCTATACCTTGTAAACAGCCCTGCCTCCATGTGAAGTATTTGTATAATATCCCAGACTGACTGACAGATATCAACTAAAACCTCTAGAGTCTGGCTTGTTCATTCTCTTTATTAAATTCTAATAGTTTATTTTCTAGTGATATAGCACTTGTAGTTTTTTGCTTCCTTTTATTTTCCTAAAGGTAAGCAAACAGCATTTTTCCTGCCATTTTTCCTGCCATAATGCTGTCGCTGCTATCTTTTCCCTTGCAAATGGAGACTAGGGACCAAATTCTTCTTATGCTGAAGCAACTCATCTCAGTGGGTCCATAGTTTTATAACTGAAAGCAGAATTTGGTCCAGGGAGAACACTACTTTGTGTGTCGCCTTCTAGCTCAGGCGCTCAGATCATTGTATATCAGCTACTGAATTATATCCACAAATGTTTATCAGGCAAATCTTGTTCCCATTTAACAGATGAGGAAACTGAGGTACAGAGAAGTTGTATGACTTACTCAAAGTCACATCAAAACTGGGAAGAGCTCTCCTGACTCCAGTTTGTATTCTAAGCACAAGATGTCTTTCATCAGCCAAGAGTCTGAACAGACCTTAAAAAAAAACCACCCCACAAACATAAGACCTGACAACCTAATTCTACCCCCAGTTACACTATGTCTACACTGGCAGCTTCTTGAGCAAGAACAGCTGTTCTTGCACGAAAACTTGTCTGCTGTCTACACTGCACGAGCATTCTTGCGCAAGTAAATTTACAGTATAGTGTTGTAAAACAGGGCTTCTTCCGGAAGAGTTATTCCTCTCCCCATGAGGAATAAGCCCTCTTGCACAAGAGCTCTTCCACAAGAAGGCAGTGTAGACAAACAACATGAATTTCTTGCGCAAGAAACCCCTATGGTTAAAATGGCCAACAGAGCTTTCTTGCGCAAGAGAACATCCACACTGCCATGGATGCTCTTGCGCAAAAGCACATGGCAGTGTGGACGTGCTCTTGTGGAAGATTTTTTGCACAAGAACTCTTCCGCAAAAGAGTTCTTGCGCAAGAAGCCGCCAGTGTAGAGGTAGCCATTCAGTTTTCAGCCAAAGTAGAAGTTGTAATATTTGCAGTCACCTAAGTGACTTATGAACCCGCATCCAATTTTCAAAAGGGATTTAGGAGACTTTTGAAGATGTTACCTACTGTTGGGTTTTATAAATGCCATCAGTTCACTGTTTGCTCCAGTGTCTTCTCAGACAAGCTTGCCACACAACTGTGTGGTGTTTGCTTTGCATCATCCATGTTTGGGCACCACAGCATGGCAAACCAAACTATGTGATAGCAACATGCAAGTTCAGTGTGTAACCTAGCCTGATATGGGAACAAAACTCCATTTCTTACTTTTGAAAAGCAAGGCCTGATCCTGAGAGGTGCTGTGTTTGTGTGTGTGAATTCACTTAATTGTAGACTGCATCTTAAGTGGCTGCATAGGGGTTAAAGCTGGCAAGCCTCCCACAGTCCTGCATAGCTATGTGTGACCTACTTGGGCACAGAGGGCATGAGCCCATGTGGGGGGAGGAAGCATAGTCTTGGTACCACCTCACAGGCCAGCTAGCAGAGATGGCTGGCTACAGGCAATGCGGGAGGGAGGAGACTACATCACGTCAAGTGAAGAATGAGATCTGGAGAATAACTGTACTTCGCTGAAGCCTAATTTCTTGGTAGTATTCCTCCTGAGGTGGGGAACTACACACTACCGAATAAAGGACTCATCTAGGAATAGTTGGTTTCTGAAAAAAGTTATCTCCCGATACCATATTTCCCTATAAAGGCAGGTGTTCTCTGATACAGAAACAGCATGTTCACAAATCCCATTGCTTTTCTTCAGTCTTTATTTTTTGGCACCATTGTAAAAGTAGCAATTTAAAAAAAACAACAACCATCCATTGGAACAGTTGATATAAAACATGAGAATGGACAGAAAAAAATGAAAATATACAAAGTGTTTTGATATCAACAAGCACAGCGATGATTGACTTTATGTGAGACTATAAATGCAATAGAACTGACATCGTTTGTGAGTAATGTTTTAAAAACATATTCAGGATTTGTCTCTTCCTCTGCACAGGAGGAGGCAGAAGTGAAGCATCACACACCATTGCAATTGAACTGCAATTAAAATAAATAAGATGTCATGGCTTCCGTAGAAGTCACATTCAGAACAGTTATAAGACACATTCAGAAGTACATAGGATCCTGAGGTTACTTTAGCATACAGCAGTGGTCCATAAACTGTCAGGAATCCCCCATACGAGGCAAGGAGAAACATTTGGGGGGAACCTGGGCCATTCCCCAAAGGAGGGTGGGAAGAGAGCACCACCCAGCCGAGCTCTGCTCCCAATCGATGCTCCAGATGAGATCCCCAACCATGATGTGGCTACGTTGCAGTTCACGGCTCCCGCTTTCAAATTCCAGCCCAGCCCTCCTCTTGCCTCCAGCTTCTGACCCTGCCCTGCTCCCAGCCATGGCTCTGCTCCCAGCCCATGACCTCAGGTGTACCCCGTGATCCCTGGTGCGGTCCCAGCCTCAGCTCCCAGCCCGCAGAGGAGATACAGACAGATTACAATTCTGGGTAAGGCAGAGCATAAAAAGTTTGTGAACACTGGCATATAGCATATTACAGATGTACCTATTTAAACCTCCAGACCGTATGTTTCTGGGATTGCTAGTTCTCATCCCAATGAGTTATTTTAGCCTACTTAAAAACTTTTGATATGATTTTAAAAAGTTGTTGAGTACATGCACATCCCATTCATTAACAGTACTTTGTACTGAGCCGGAGAGGTGGAGAAACTGAAGCACAGACCAGTTAGGTGACCATATGGTCTTATCTAAGCTATGAGATCTCTGATGGTTATTTGGAATGGTAAATTCATCTGGGTATGTTCGGTGAACTAGAAATTATAAAGATGCTGCTGTTTCTTTCTTTGCAAAAACAGCATCTTTTCAATTCAACAGAGATCACTGAATCACCTAGTAACTATTAATATGGTATAGCATGATTTTATTATTTGCATTGCTGTAGCAGCTATAGGCGAAAACCAGAGATCAGGGCCATCACAGAAGACACTGTACAAACATGTAAAATCAGTCCTGCCCAAAGAGTTCACTGTGTGCATACACATTTCATTCTAAAACAGGACACTTGGAGTCAATGTTGAATGTGGGTTTCAGTCCTTGCTTTGCCAATGACTCATGGTGCAATGTTGGATAAATCACTTAAATTTTTTGTGCCCAAGTTTCCCCTCTATGAATTGGGGACAATTCTCCCCTACCAGCCAAAGGGATTAGAAGGTCTAGTTCATTAAGTCAATTGTGGCTTACTGTGTCCCCCTAGTGGCTGGCCGATGAAGACTCACGTTTCTGCTACCGCCTTTGGAATTAATTGTTCATTCAACAGAAGCTCATGCTTTCAGATCCAAAGGTATCAGGTTCAATCCCACTGCTGGTGTGCTCATGTTTGTGAAACACATGCCAGTGCTAATATTCACCAACACAATCACTCCAGTTCCCTCAAGCAGGCAGAGACCTACCAGAATTCCAGGCTATTTATATAAGTAACATTTCAAAACTGTGCTGAAATAGCAAGACTAGTAGCTGTGCTTCACTTCTGCACCAAGAGCTGGAGGACAAGAGGACTGGGAAATACATTTATATCCACAAAGAGCAGTTAACTCGCAAATTCCCACAACAAGCCTGTGCAGGATGATCTCAGAGTAGGGAAGACGTTTTGCAGTCCCATCCAAAAATGGGCCCCAGCACTGATGCAAGGAGCATTAACAAGCTTCAGTAATTTGAGGTTAACAGTGATAGGGTTGGCTTGTCTATTACAAGAGATTTACTGGCAAAAAGTTGGTAAAATATGTATGAACATACATCTTATGAACAGACTTTAGTATCCTTTAAAGACAGACAATCAGGGTACGGCTAGACCACAAGTTTTTGTCTGAAAAAGGTGCGCAAAATGTGCTCTGCATTTTGCATACTTTTTTCCGATTCTTTTGTCGGAAGAGGCTTTTCTGACATTTGACCCATCTAGACTGGGCCAAATGTCGGAAAAAATCCCCTCTTTCAGAAGCCCCCTTCTTCTTCGTGGAACGAGAAATACAGGAGCTTCCAAAAGAGCACGTTTGCTCTTCTGCAAAAGAAAGCGGAAGAGCAAATGCATTCCCTAGACATGGCGGAGTTTTTTCGGGATACCAGGATATCTCAGTCTTTTCGTGATACCACAGTCTAGCCGTACCCACAGACATAGATGTTTCTACAAGAACTCAACATATTTAACATCGCAATAAACAGTGAAAAAACCTGATGATTGGCTACTCTTTGAAAATGTCCATGAGTAACTCATATTAAGCTACAAAATCAATAGCAAATCAGTGGTTGAAGGAATGAACCAACATGCATCAATTCAAGCAAATACAGATGCATAGGCACAGTAAAACCACATTGCTGGTGAAAGTAAACATCTACTGAAACCCTGTGTGAGACCTTGACAGGTTATTTTAAAAGTGTCACTTTGAAAAAAAAACCCAAACCCAAGTTTCTATAAGGGCTGGATCCCACGAAGCCTCTGAGCTTTAGACCAACACTATGCATGTAACAATTACAACAGCAACAGTGATGCTCCTAACCTCATTCATGTAAGCAACTGGGGACAGCTTTTAGATTTAAATATACTGATTAATGAATCATAGTATTATAATATATTAATTAAAATATATGTGTTCACATTAAAGCAACATTACTATTTATTTTTTAAGTAGGTCTGATCTATAATTTAAGGCACTCTTTATCAGACACTTAGCCTTTTGGTAACTGGGACATTCCAAAGCCTGTGCAAGATTCTTAGAGGCCAAATGATTTAGGGGGGTTGCACATACAAAGTTTTCAGCTCAGTTCTCCCATTCAAACGCTGAGGGCGGCTCCAGTCAGCACTGGTACTCCTCACAGTCGTAAGGAATGAGGGAAGCTGATGGGAGTATTTGCCTCCCTCTGTGAAGACATTTTATGTCGCTGAAGCTGCATATCTTAACCCGACCTTCTAGGTCTAATGTAGACCTGGCCTCTGAGTGAACCACTGATGTGAGAATTATTTGTTGTAAGCATTATAGGATCTATGATTTCCAATGCTGACCTAATAGCATCACTTACTTAAATGGGATATGAGTAAAGACTGACAGACATCACATGCTACAAGCAATACCCTCGTTACTTAGTAAGTCTTTTTCTCTGGCTTTTGTTTTTAACAAAGAACCAATCATTGGATATTAGGAAAAGTTATTTCAGTAGGAGGGTGGTGAAACACTGGAATGGGTTGCCCAAGGAAGTGGTAAAATTTCCATCCTTAGAATTTTTCAAGTTCTGGCTTGACAAAGCCATGGCTGGAATGATTTACTTGGGGTTGGTCCTGCTTTGTGAAAGGGGTTAGACTAGATGCCTCTTGAGAGCTTTTCCATCCCTAATCTTCCGTGATTCTATGATCCAGGTTGGAAGGCTGTTTCAGAGGATGTCAGATATAAGGGAGTTACATCAATAACTAACTCTGAACAGGTTGGAATAGGACCTAAAATATTTTAAAAGACCAAAAACTGAGGAAAAAATATTCAACAGAAAATAAATTCACTTCCGTCATTTCTCAAGAGTCAGATATTGCAAAAAACAATGGGAACTCGGTTAATTCTTTTAAATATTTAACAATATTAAAATAAATGCAATACTTATTAAATACAAAGAAAGAGAGTCCTACAGGTGGAGTCCATACAGCCAAAGAGCAGTACACTCTGGACAGCAGAAAAGCAAGCTCTCCTACTAGTGTGCTAGAACCTGGATCTGGAGGGGTTCTTGCTAGGGAACAAAAGGGTAGTTCAATACGTGGCCTCCTTGCCAACCAGGATGGTAATATCGATGATTTTTGTGGCATTCATCATTTGTCCACAAGGAACCAAACTGAGACCCCAAACTCATTTCATGCTGGTCAGCAACCAGCCCTCAGATTTTACCAGGGATTAAGAAGAGAAACTATCCCCCTGATCATCCTCAGATAAAACTACCAGAGCCCTGGAACAGTGTTTAACACCATATAACATTTTTGTTCAATGTTGATGGCTTGGTCATTTCAAATTACCCACCTTGAGAAGTGCATTGTGACTCCTTTACTGCAAATTAACTCCCTATTTAATGCAAGTAAGCATCCCTTCAGATAACACTTGAGTGTCTGTTGCAGGCCCCAGATACAATATTGCAAGGATCAAAGTTCTGACATGTTGAAAGACTGTATAAACTACACCTGGAAGTTGGCGTTTCTTTTTTTCTGAAGGCACAGCTATATTGAATCAAAAGGCACCTGGCTCAGGAAGCTTTGCCTCATGGGAGCAAGAGGGATTTTGCCAGTCTTGTCCAGAACCATTTTTTGGTGCAGGGATTAGTGTAGTCACAGACTGTAATGAACCTCAAAATGCTTGGAAATGCATTCTTCATGGTTTTGTACTTGACCGGAATCAGCCGTTTCTGGCGAGCACCTGAAATAATCCAAACAGTCATGTGGGTAAAGAAAGTTGCATCATTACTAGGCTGTCAAGTGATTAAAAACATTAAATTTTGCGATTAAAATCGTCCTGTTAAATAATAATAGAATACCATTTATTGAAATATTTTGGATGTTTTCTACATTTGAAATGTATTGATTTTAATTACAACAGAATACAAAGTATACCGTGCTCGCTTGACTGTCATTACAAATATTTGCACTGTAAAAAGCAAAAGAAATAATATTTTTCAATTATCCCATTACAAGTACTGTATTTTTCAATTTCCCCATTACAAGTATTTATTGTGAGAGTTAAATTTACAAATGTAGAATTATGTACAAAAAACTGTATTAAAAATAAAACAATTTAAAACTCTAGCGTTTACAAGTCCACTCAGTCCTACTTCTTGTTCAGCCAAATGCTCAAACAAGTTATCAGGAGATAATGCTTCCTGCTTCTTGCTTACAATGCCACGTAAAAGTGAGAACAGGTGTTGTAGTGGCATTATTGCAGCCAGCACTGCAAGATATTTACATGCCAGATGCGCTAAGGATTCATGTTTCAATCACCATTCCAAAGGACAAGCATCCATGCTGATGATGGGTTCAAAGAGCTGCAGACCCTGGTCATCTTCATCAACTGAGACAAAAGCCACCAGCAGGAGGCTGATTTTCTTTTCTGGTAGTTCAGGTTCTGTAGTTTCCGCATCGGAGTGTTGCTCTTTTAAGATTTCTGAATGAATTCACCACAACTCCTCTCTCCAAGATGGGTCGAATACTGTAGCTATCTTTAGAAGTCTCACATTGGTAACTGTTTTGTGTTTTATCAAATCTGCAGTTGAAAGTATTCTTAAAACAAATGTGCTGAGTCATCATCTGAGATTGCTATACGGTGATCATCCAAGATTGCTATAATACTGGCTGAACAAGAAGCAGGACTGAGTGGACTTGTAGGCTCTAAAGTTTTACATTGTTTTGTTTTTGAGGGCAGTTATGCAATGCATAAGTTGCACTTTCACAATAAAAGAGATTGTACTACAGTACTTGTATGAAGTGAATTGAAAATACTGTCTCTTTGGTTTATCATTTTTACAGTGCAAACATTTGCCATAAAATAATATAAAGTGAGGTATACAGGATCTATCGGAAAAGGCTTTCTTTAGCGATAGATCAGCCTCTAGACTGCCGCTTTTCTCTGACAAAGCTCCGTGCCGGAAAAAAGCACTGGCAATTTTTATGATAATGAAGCATGGGATATTTAAATCCCCGCTTCATTAGCTATTTCGCCCAGCCTAATCTACATCCCACTGCTGGCAGAGGGGTACAGTCTAGACATACCCTGAGAATAATAGATCCCTGTTCTTTTTATAAACTGGGCCCTTTAGATGCTACTGTAATACAAATAATTAAGAGCAACATTGATGATACATTATTATGACTTATGAGGAAATGTACCCTTAATGCATCATCTGAATTCTCTTACCTGGGGAAAGGCTAAGAGCAAATTTGGTCTGGAAATCACATGCATTGCTTTCCAGATAATCATCTGAAATAACAACCACCATCTTCCTACAGCTGGAATTAAAAAGAGAGCAGAGGAAAATGGTTAAATGGTTATTAACTAAAGAAAACAGAAGCTTTTCATGCTTGCTGGAAAATATAAATATTTTATAAACCTGTTATGCTGAAATATGCAACCAGAATCAATGTTCCTAGTCTATTGTCAATAACATCTGAAGAGTTTTGTTACTCCACTTACAGCTTTCTCTCTATATATATATTTTTAGAGAGTTTGGGCCTCTATCCATCCATGTTTCTGTCCATCCATGAATCTGTTCATTCAAGAACTTCTCCTAAATGGCAAGAGCTAGGACCACCAAATTCAGTATGCAGCTTCCTCTTATAACTTAAAGCAAGGTCGGGGTTTGGATGTGCCTAGAATGGGATTGTTTTCCATAATACAAAAAGGGAGGGAGCTGATAGGAGAGAGAGTTATACCGCAGAGTAGGGATGTTAAATGGCGTTTAATCCACTGATCGACTAGTCAATGGAATCCATCAACTAGTCGATAAGTTGATAAGGAGGGGAAATAGAACCGCAGCGGAGTTAGCTCCCTGCCTTTTAACACCAGGCTCTTAATATATTTAAAAGGCTGATGTGCCGTGGGGGAGACCAGGCGTGAGTTGGCAATCCACTGCCCCAGCTCACTCCTGGTCCCTCCCACTGTGCTGGCGTCTCTTCATACATTTAAAAAGCACAAGCGCAGTGCGGGGGACCAGATGCAAGCTGGGAATCAACTGATACCCAGCTTGCGCCCGGTTCCCTCCCCCCCCTCCCCCGTGGAGATGGTGCTGGGGAGGAATTGGCTTTTAAGCTGGCTCCTCCCACCACTGACTCCTGCTCCCCCCTCTTGCTGCCTCTTTCTGATAGAGGCAGCAAGGGGGTGGGAAAGCAACTAGTCAAGTCACTCGTCACTTACATCCCTACTGCAGAATGACCACTCAGGGCAGCAAGTGTGGGGGCCAGCGATACTCCCGAGTGACCACAGGGAGAGCAGCTACACCAGGAAGAGGTGGCCAGCTGGGGTCAGGGCTTTCCATGTTGCCGACCACTGGTCCAGGTAGGTGGGCCCCCATTCCAAACTCCTCCCCTCTGGCCGCAACACTGGATGGGGAGTGCGGAAGCCCCACCAGCAGGCAGCCCTGCCACCCCAGAGCA